TTGACTCAGAGTGCTGTTTGCCATTGTGAGGATCCAGTTACCTCAAGTTACTAAAGGGAACAGTGGCCTAAGCCAGTGCCCTCTAAGAGGGGAGCCGCAGGGAGATGTTGGCCATCCTAGACAGTATCTGCTTATTCATCAGACATTTTCATTTACAAAGAGGTTGGTGTCAAACTTTTTTCTCTATGTGGATGGTCAGGGATCAGCTGAAACTCTCAGATTCAGAAGGGGAATAATTTAGGAGCTCTTGGATATGTGTGAACTTCCTGGGGCATACCAGGCAGCTTTTGGGGCTTTTAAAGATTGGATTAGTGGTTTGAGCAGTCCCAGGGAGGAGCTTTTGTAAGAAGTCCTTTGACTTTACTTAAAACCTTACTTTACCTTTTGCCTCCTTGCCTGATGTCCATATAAGCCTTAATGTATTTTCAAATGGAGAATCAAAAAAATCTAGAGTAAGACCTGGTGGAAGGGCTATTAATGAAAAAGATGGAAGCTCTGGGTGTCTTCAAGTGGTACCATTGCTGCTCATAAATCAATCATTTGCCCATTTCATTGCTTCAGAGAGCTTGTCTCGGTTACCAGAGTATTCTTCTTGCACCAAGGAGCTGCTGTTGAATAGCTTTGAATGAGTCCTGGTATAGAAAATCTGTTGGTAAATACTATTTCTGATGGATCACAGTCTTCTCTTCCTTGAAAAACAAACCTGTACTGGCAACTGGTGAGACAGAGCTGTGAATAAAAGAAGTAAGGGGAGTTAATTTAAGTCTTTCCCCAATTGTTTTTTTTTTTAAGAAACACTAGTCTTGAGTTCAGCTTGAGGATAGACTGGAGGATTTTATGATCAAATAAGTTTGGGACATCAAATCTGTTCTGTTCACCTATTGGTGATTTATAACGTGCATCAGCACCCAGCACCCTAAAATTTTCAGGAAGTCCTGCATAAAGGCACTATAACAGTTTTGTTTAGTATGGTGTTTTCCAATACAACCCTCCTGTTGAATAAACATCTGACGTTCCTTGGAACAATTATTCCTTTGGTCACACATTAAGACTACTGCTTTTTCTATTAAAGCCTTGAGTGAAATAGGGATTTTTTTGAGCCCAATGACGTGTGAAGGCATCCAGAAAAGCAAGTTACTATACCTTCCTCCTCAGTGTCACTCCACCATCTTAGTATTAATGTACCCTTTATATCTGGCTTCCTGGTATAGGAGTTAGTTTTGTGTCATTATGGAAAAGTCTGTGTAATGGTAGTTACTATAGAGCAGCGGCTCTCAACCTGTGGGTCGAGACCCCTTTGGCGGTCGAACGACCCTTTCACAGGGGTCACCTAAGACCATCCTGCATATCAGATATTTACATGACGATTCATAACAGTAGCAACATTACAGTTATGAAGTAGCAACAAAAATAATTTTATGGTTGAGTCACAACATGAGGAACTGTATTTAAAGGGCCAGAAGGTTGAGAACCACTGCTATACAGGCTTTTTTCTGTATAATGGTAATTGCTGTAGAAGCCTTTTTTTGTCCCCTTTCACTTTTGGGTGGGAGATTTTGTTCTTCATGTTGTTTCTCAGTACATATTTGGAAGGGTACCAAGTGTTAGGTTAGGTGGCTCAGGAGGCGGCGAAGAAAATAGAGTTGATCAGAAAAGGAAGGAAGGAAGGAAAGTTTATTCTGCGTCCCCGGGAGACCCTGACCCCAAGGACAGGGCACGTGGATTCACGCCAACAGGGAGGGGGGCGCTTTTTTTATACTGCGGTCCGGTGAGGGGCGGGGACATGAGCTGTGGTATTCTCTGCCACAGGGGATGGGTGGGGGTATTCAGAAAGAAGTCAGTATCTGTGTGGGGTATGTGGATTAAGGGAGAAGAAGCCGGTATCTGTGTCTGGCATGTTGATCTGTGAGAAATTCCAGGGGAAGTCCATTGTCTCATCACATGTCTGCATGTATCCGATCCTGGGCTCTCTCTGACCTAACACCAAGCATTTCTGGGAAATGGGTGCAAAACTTTGGGGATGAGGATAATTTGTTGTGAACTTGGGTCATTAGTTTTAGAGACTTATTATAAGAGACTTATTATAAGAGTTTATCACTGAAAAGAGGTTCTGCTTGGGGTAGTGTTGGCCTTTCCCCCTCATCCTGTTTGCTGCTACCTGAGAGACTAGGAGAGAGGCAACTAAGGACCTTGATGTATCCCAGGTGAATGAGCTCAACCCTTTACATAGTGGATGCCCTCTCTTGGGAATGGGTGTCTTTAATACATTCAGCTTTGCTTGCAGTAGCTATCACAGATGTTGAGTTTCTGAGCTGGATTAGCTGTGGGACAAAAGAAATCATTGGCATAATATACTTATTGATAATAATCATCTTTTAGATTTATTACTACACTAGGGGCCCGGTGCACGAAATTCGTGCACTGGGTGTGTGTGGGGGGAGTGTCCCTCAGCCCAGCCTGCCCCCTCTCACATACTGGGAGCCCGCAGGCGTTGACCCCCATCACCCTCCAATCGCAGGATCGGCCCCTTGCCCAGGCCTGACGCCTCTGACAGAGGTGTCAGGCCTGGGCAGGGGACCCTCATTTCCCCCCATCACTGGTTCTGCCCCCAGCCCAGGCCTGATGCCTCTGGCCCAGGCGTCAGGCCTGGGCAGGGGACCCCCAGACCCCTCCGATTGCTGGCTCTGCCCCTTGCCCAGGCCTGATGCCTCGGCCAGAGACGTAGATCCCCATCACCCTCTGATCACCTGATCGGCCCCTTGCCCAGGCCTGACACCTCCGCCAGAGGTGTCAGGCTTAGACAGGGGACCCCCTTCTCCCTCCGATCACTGGCTCTGGTCCCCGTCCAGGCCTGAGGCCTCTGGCCCAGGAATCATGCCCGGGCAGGGGACCCCCATCTCCCTCTGATCACTTGCTCCACTCCCTTCCCAAGCCTGACGCCTCTGATCCAGGCTTCAGGCCTGGGCAAGGGGACCATCATATCCTCCCAACCCCCGGCTCCGCCCCCCACCCACG